CCCCAAAACCCCAAAACCCCAAAACCCCAATTCTGGATTCTGAGAAAGAATATTTAGCCTGAGTATTTGTCATCCAATATTGAGTATTAACCCTCCCAGTCAGCCTTAGTACTTAGAGGTTAATAATACTAGTTTAGCCGATCCACAAATATAATATCACGAGCCAATGGCAATGCAAAGCAGGCGTTGATTCACAAGGTACAAGTAGCTTCACATGTCTCTTTAAACAACTCTCCAGCCTGGCTTGCTTGTACATTACTTATTTAAGGACACTCTCAAAGCTATGGGAGCATTCAGAAGATTTGTCTTGAAGCTCATTTCCATTAAACAAGAAGGTTTACAAGGAAGATGCCCTATAACTAGGAATTTCAAGAACCCTTCAGACTTGTACTCTCATAAATTTAAACTTGAATCTTAAAATTAGCTTCATTGTTGCTGAATTTTGATTATGAGGATAAAAATACTAAAAATAATAATCTTAGAAGTACTAAAACGTATCAATGTTTAACCACCTCCAGTGTAGAGCTGATGAGCAAGGAACTGACAGAGATGAGAACGTAAGACACTTTATATGAATCTCCAAAACTAGAGAGTAGACCACCTTTACATTCTTAAGTTAATTTGTTAAACCTCGATAGCCGATTCTACCCGATATAAGTCACCCATATACATTCGACGGCTTGTAGAAATCCTTTAGCTATTAGATCAGCCAATATAGCTACTTCTAGCTTAGGATTTCGGAATGAGCCGACTCTAGAAAGGCTTTTAGTCACCAGCCCGACTCGTTCATCCCTCTTGACATTTAGAACAGAGGAAAAGATCGAACAAGAATCTAGAGAGATTAATGCTCAGTTATTCGAGAATGTTTGCTTTAAAATATTTAAGGAAAGGTTAAATCATGCCTACAAGCAAGAATGGTCCTACTTCTTGGTCGCTACAGGTAAACTAATGAAGATTGATCTTCTCTAGAGAGTTGAAATTAATTCAAGCGATTTCTAAGATAAAGATGCCAGTGATGTCTTACATCCAATTGATAGAAGCTGAGTATAGAAGTAAGCATTTCAGAAATTTTGATGCCAAATCGACCCTAACTGCTACTGAGACCTTGCACAATTTGATGTGAGAAGAGTGAAGAGCATTAGATATTTTAATACATTTGTCAGTCTTTGCTTAACTACACCCCAGCAATTTTTCATAAATGGATTCAAAAAGTTAGCCCAGATCTCAGTCTCTAGTATCAACAAGAAGAGTTAAAGAGATTGTTTGCACCAAGCAAGCATACAGATTCTCTTGGGATCATGAATTCTACATGATCTCTCCCAAGTGATCTTGACTATTCAGATTGATTTAGAGGAGCGACCCTCAAAAGACTTCACTTTAAGTCTTAAAGATAGTCAACCAGGATGATGAAGATGGAAGTACATATATAAACCAGAAAGTTTTGTTTCAGGGTTGGCTAAACCCCATGATCTTAAGAAGAGCCTTGAGGAAATCCTCATCGAAAGTGAAGTCAATTCCCCTAAACTCTGTAAAGAACTTCTGGCTAAATATGGATTGGCCCAAGTAAAAATTTAATCAATTTTAATAGACTTATACGCGCATTTTCAGTATCATTAAATGAAATTTTAAGCTAGGATTCAATCCTATGCTGAACTCCCGGGGTTTTGGGGTTTTGGGGTTTTGGGG